CGACGAGGTAGGAAGAGCAAACTTAACCTCTTTAGGAATCCTAAACCGGGCTCAGATATCACGCATGGACTGCCAAGTCAAAAGGGTAGAACCAGGCGGGTTAGTCTTGACTCACGGCTTCCTCTTCTTCTTAAATTGCACAATTAGAGCATCATCCTTGGTCTCCACTCCGTCATCCTGCTCTGACTTAACTGTTCCAGCATCGTCGTGTACCTCCCCAACGGAAACTCCAAGAGAGATCGGGTGTGTTGCACTACCGGCATTCGAGTCAGGGGAACTAACAATCTTCCTTCCAAGAAGCGAAGGACCATTCCCCAAATCGTCGAAATCATCCAAGTATGGCGAAGCATTCGAAGGGCCTGCTTCCGAAGGGCGAGTCCACGGGTTCAAAGGAGATAAATTTTTAGACATCTCTCCCACTTTGTCTTCACCTCGGTGGCAATGAGAACTGCACCGACTGCTACGGTGAAGTCACCACAGCGTTAGTACCACCAATCCGCGCCGTTTCCCTTTTCTAATCGACTAAGACAAAATTAAAAACCCAAACTTAGAGTCGGACTCGTCGAGCTTCCAACCCGCTCCGGTTACTGTCATAAACACTACCTCTTCAATTTCAATCCCACCTCGGCGGCAAGACAAAGTCACCTCGGCGGCAAGACAAAGTCGCCTCGGCGGCGTCGCTCCTCTTCATCGGTAGCCTCGACTTTGCTTCCAAATCAATCTCGTTATCAAGCTTGAAGATCGATCTCGCCTCGGTCCAAGTAGACCGAACCAGAAGACAAAGCTCGTCGATGGAGACCGAGCCACAATTTTTCAACTCGTCGCCAACTCGCCCCTTTTCACCTCGTCGGCTGCTTACTTCCACCTCGGCGTCTCAAGTCGGCTTCACCTCGTTTCCTTTACTGCCCGCTACGATACCAATCTCTCTTCTCTTCACCTCGGCGATGCTCCGCCTCGTCTTTCTCTCTCGATATCCCCACTTCACCTCGTCGCCAAAGACGGATCGACCCGACTCTGACCGATGTTCACCTCGTCGCAATCATGCCTCGCCGAAGTCTTCTATCGCCTCGGTTTCACTATCCCATTCTGATGATAGGGAACTCAGCGGTGGCATAAGGAACTCGTCGCCGGCGGTTCACGATTTAAAAAAAAAAACTTGACCTAAAAACAA